ATACTTACTCTTTATTTCATCTTATCACAATAAATTACGAACGCCATCACTATCACCCTCCACTCTCCAATATGCCGTTTGTTTCATTTTGTCATCTGTTAGGTGTACCCCGTGTCTGTGTCCGTGTGTGTGTATGTGTGTGTGCAGCCTGTGCGTGTGTGTGTGTGTGTGTGTGTGTGTGTGTATGTGTGAGGGGGTGGGGGTTGGGAGCCGGATGGAGTCGTAGACCCTGCAGACGAGAGAGGGGGACGTCTTTTTTTCTCGCAGACGAGAACGGTGACGTCGTGACTTTCTGCTCGTGAGTCGATTGGTTTTATTGTTAAGTTAAAAAACAACCTGGGTTGTGTGTGTGTGTGTGTGTGTGTGTGTGTGTGTGTGTGTGTGTGCGTGTGTGAGAGCGTGTGTGTGTGTGTGTGCGCGCGCGCGCGTGCGTGTGTGTGTGTGTTCAAAAGCAACGCAACTGCTTTATTCTTTTGTTTTTTCAGCTACGACAACCCCACCTGCAGGATACACTGCTCTGTTTGGGGTTCCGATATTTCCAGAATAGAACTCAGGAAAATTCACCCGAGTGGACGAGCCACACCCCTCGACTATTGGAGCTACTCTGTGTAAGTTGTTCTCTGTGAGCTGAATAGCTTGTTGAACCTAAAATAAATTACAAATCATATGGCCAACGCTCTTTTCCTATTTTGCCCCACTTGTTGGGAATAGGCTTCCAAAAACTACCAGAGAAGCAGAAAATCTAGAAATGTTTAAGAAGAAACTAAAGGCATTTCTATTTTCATCATATTTCGATTAGACAGAATCCATCCAAGCTGTAGATCGTTGTGAGTTTGTGTGTGCGTATGTGCGTATGTACGTTAGTGTGTATGTGTGTATGTTTATGTGTATGTGTGTGTGGTGCGTGCGTGCGTGCGTGAATATGTGTGGGCACACGTATGTAACACTATGTACCTTTAAAATTGATTTGTAAATCCATAATAATATGTATCATGTTAAGCGCATAGAGCATTGCATAAGTGGAT